GGCTTTTCAAAATCCAAAATATTGTCAAGCAGGCACTTTTGCATTTCGTTTCTAAACTAAATCATCCGCGATCGTCTTTTCTGTCTCACCTCACCCTATTCTTCTTGTCAGTCGGCTCGACTCACTCTCCTCACTGGAGAAATTAAATCTGATCTGTGATGCGGCTGTCGTTCAACTGCATTGAGCAGCCGAGTTCAGTTTTTAATTGTAGTGTCTGTTCTTTTACTGAACTAAATGATTTTTATTACTATAATAAAATCAAAACGACGGTGGGGGTCGGTGACGCGGTGGGCAAGTGACATAACCGGTGTTGCGGTATCACCGTCAGCACCGTCTATCTCGGCAAGCCTAGGTTGAAGGACTAAAACAAAAAGCTAAACAAAAATATTTACATTTTAAATTAAAAATTTTAATTAACATTTAAAAATAAAAAAGCATGCAACAAAATGAATAAACCTAAAATTAAATGTAAATTAAAATGAAAAAAATATAAACAAAACAATTAAAAATAAATAAATAAATAGAAATGACAAAATAATGTTACAAAAATACTTAATTTAAACTAAAATTAAACTGAAAATGGTTTTAACCTACAAACTTATCCATCAAAACAGAAATATTTAATAAAAATAATAATAATGACAAAAGCGTGTACAAAATTACTACACTTAAACTGAAATTAACATGGAAACTTGTTAACTTAAAAGTTCCATTGAAACAAATCTGAATTTTTTTTTTTAAATAACAAAAGCATGTAACAAAATTACTAAACTTAAATGAAAATTAAAATGGAAACTTAAAATATAAAAATTAATTCAAAATATAAATAATACTATTATATAAATAGCACTAAAATAACACTTACTAGCCCAAGTCAAAAGCATTCATCCTCAAGTGTCTGTGATATTTTATTCTCTAGAAATGACTTGTTTACGAGAGGTTTTTGCTCTTTTAGTATAATAACAGCACACCTCTAACCAGATTTTAATTGGCTCATAACTTCTTAAAGGGGCCCCACATGGGCACTGGCAGAGGGGCTGTTTCGGATACAAATGGGTATATATATATGCATTTCTCTTAATACAGCCAGTTGGCTTACCGAAATAAGCAAAACAATATAATATTTTAAAGCCTCTAATCTTTGACCATGCCGTATACTCCAGTTGAGGATGTTTTGAAACGGAGGTGCTCTAACTTGGAGTCATTTCAGCTCAACGTGGAATTTTTACAAGGTCTCTCAATAAACAATTGCAGGGGCCTTTTCTGCATTTTCACTCCAGCTCCTGAATCCCAAACGGAAAATTCCCAGCCTTTCCGACTCTAAGTATAGATGTTAGCCGGAGCGGTTCTCCATCTATAGTGAGTCACTGATTCCAGAGTACGGTCTACACTGACGTTTGTTTGGTGTCTGTGCTCGTCTAAATGCTGGAACGATTGATTGAGGGTAGGAAATGATGAATTATCTGTTTGGATGCCACATTATATCGCTCTTTCTTTCTTCATCTCTTCACTTGTGTTCTATTAGCCCTTTCCCAGCTCTTTCTCCTTTTCCCGTCCCTCCTCTCCCTTTCACCTCTTCTAATGCTTGTGTCTGCTATTCAATCCCTTTTGTATAGAATTGCCATTATTTAAAGGAGTATTTGAAGTTACAGCTTACATTTTGGTCTGTTCCTCACACAAGGCTTTTTCAGAGGACATCATTCATTTTTTAGGTTTCATTCTGTTAATGCACAATCATCAAGAAAGGTTGAATAGTCATATAGTCATGGATCTGTGTATGCACTAAAATTGTGTATTTCAAAGTGAAAACAGTTATTTTAAATTGTAATAATATTTCAGTTTTTACTGTATTTTTGATCAAATAAATGCAGCCTTGCAGAGGAGACATCTTTCAAAAACAAACAAACAGAAAAAAATCTTACCAGCCAAACTTTTGAAAACAGGAAGGAATTCGGCAATGTTGGATGAAAATGCATGTGCATTTACACATATGGCAGACACTTATTTAACTTACATATTTTCCTTTTAAACATTCTTTTTAAATCTTGCTCTGCTCTTGAGGAATAATGTTCAAATGGATGCACACTTTAAAGAATCCATCAGAAACAGTGTTTCATTACATCCTGTTTTCAGCAAGCTGTGATTTGCGACGTACTCTATGTTTGGCTTATAGCAGACACGGCAGCTGTTGGTAATTCTCAGCTCCAATCTGGCAACCCTAATGATGTTGTGCCTCCAAAACATCAGTCACCAGACTAATCATAAACGGCCTTTATAAAGTCAAGCGCTCTGCTGGATTTAACCACATAACCGTGTGTGTGTACATGCATCATATGTACCTTGAAAATGCCTGCTAAAATTAGGCACAGCTTTGATTTTGAGGGACACGTGCATGTGTGTGCGTGCGTGCGTGTGTGTGTGTGTGTGTGTGTGTGTGTGTGTGTGTGTGTGATTTAATGGAGTTTTCTTGTCCTCTGTAACTGTACTCCTGCAAACACGCACAGCTGAGGATGGTTTGCTGACTCATTCCAGCCGCTTCCTGTGTCCATGATCTGAGCTCTGACTCACGGCTACTGTAAGAGAAAGACAGGAGACTCAATTAAGGGAAACTCTGTGTGTGACGTGAAAGGGACAGCAGACAGAACAGGGTTAAAGGTCATTAGAACACGTGTTTTCTCACACAGTTAAAAGATTTCAGTAGGCTTTTTACTTCTTTCCGTGAACCGCTTAACAGTGAATGTTTTTCCAAGGGGAAAAATGTTTGTCTTTAAGGGAGTTGTTTTATGAATGTGCTTGATAGTTGTGAAAATAATGTCACACTCACAATGCAAAAATGGTTTTATTGTCTATATATGCAAAATATATTGATTTTATTTTATTATTTATTTTATTGTATTTTATTTACAGGTAGAAATGATCATTTGAACAAGGTGAAGAAAAGGCTTAGAAATTACATTGTTTGTTTGCAAAAATAACCTTTTGCAAAAGGATGAGAATTAAATGAAAGGCTAGTATGAAATAAAATTCATTCATTCATTCATTCATTCATTTTTAGGTAGCAATTAGCTTTTGCAAAATGTTTGATGATACGAAAGGCTTGGAAATGAATGTATTAATTTAAATTAATTTATTATTTATTTGTTATATTTATACAATTTATTATTATTTTATTTATTTATTTATCTATGTTTTATTTATTTAATTTTTTTGGCAGAAACTACCTTTTTCAAACGATTGAGAATGATATGAATATCAATAATATTTCTATATATTTATTTATTTTTATTTTATTTTATTTTAGAAATTACCTTTAGCAAAGGGTTGAGAATCATACAAACACTTAAAAATGAACTAATGCAAAACATTTCATTTATTTATTCATTTATTTATTTATTTAACTTAATTTTTTTAGGTAGAAATTACCTTTTGCAAAAGATTAAGAATCATTACTTCATGTGAAATATGTTTTTTTTTTAAATTTAATTTAATTTAATTTAATTTTTAGATAGACCTTTTGCAAAATGTTTAGAATCATTACTTCATGCAAAATATTTTTATTTTATTTTGTTTTGTTTATTTGTTTATGTTGTTTGTTTATTTTGCAGAATGATGTGAAAGGCATAGAAATGACCCTGCCTATGCAAAATATATATATTTTTTTATTTATTCATTATTTTTTTATTTTTAGGTGGAAATTATTATTTGCAAAAGGTTGAGAATGATATGAAAGGCTTAGAAGTTACCTTATGCTAAATATTTTTTAAATGGAATACATTTTTATTTATTTAAGTGGAAATGACGTGGACATTTGATTGATTGATTATTGGCCTGTCACTTACAGTTTGTCATTTCTTGGTTCTCTCTGTTTCTCAGGTAAACTGTCATGATTCCCATCACTGAGTTGCGATACTTTGCTGATACACAGCCGGCGTATCGGATTCTGAAACCATGGTGGGACGTGTTCACAGACTACATCTCCATCGTCATGCTGATGATCGCGGTGTTCGGTGGCACGCTGCAGGTCACGCAGGACAAAATGATTTGCCTGCCGTGCAAATGGGTCGTCAACCAGACCTGCGAACAACTCAACGTCAGCGTGCCGCTCAATGCCGAGCCCAAGGGCATCCAGTACGACCTCGACAGACACCAGTACAACTACGTGGACGCCGTGTGTTACGAGAACAAGCTGCACTGGTTCGCAAAGTACTTCCCGTATCTGGTGCTGCTGCACACGCTGATCTTTCTAGCGTGTAGTAACTTCTGGTTTAAGTTTCCGCGGACCAGTTCGAAGCTGGAGCATTTCGTGTCGATCCTGCTGAAGTGTTTCGACTCGCCGTGGACGACGCGGGCGCTTTCTGAGACGGTGGTGGAGGAGAGCGACCCGAAGCCGGCGGGGAAGATGAACGGCTCGATGGATAAGAAAACCTCCAGCGTCAGCGACCAGGATGTGGAGCATCGTCATGCTGATGATCGCGGTGTTCGGTGGCACGCTGCAGGTCACGCAGGACAAAATGATTTGCCTGCCGTGCAAATGGGTCGTCAACCAGACCTGCGAACAACTCAACGTCAGCGTGCCGCTCAATGCCGAGCCCAAGGGCATCCAGTACGACCTCGACAGACACCAGTACAACTACGTGGACGCCGTGTGTTACGAGAACAAGCTGCACTGGTTCGCAAAGTACTTCCCGTATCTGGTGCTGCTGCACACGCTGATCTTTCTAGCGTGTAGTAACTTCTGGTTTAAGTTTCCGCGGACCAGTTCGAAGCTGGAGCATTTCGTGTCGATCCTGCTGAAGTGTTTCGACTCGCCGTGGACGACGCGGGCGCTTTCTGAGACGGTGGTGGAGGAGAGCGACCCGAAGCCGGCGGGGAAGATGAACGGCTCGATGGATAAGAAAACCTCCAGCGTCAGCGACCAGGATGTGGAGGCAAGCGTTCCCATGCTGCAGAGGACCAAGTCCCGCATCGAGCAGGGCATCGTGGACCGTTCGGAGACGGGCGTCCTGGATAAGAAGGAAGGAGAGCAGGCCAAAGCGCTGTTTGAGAAGGTGTGTGCGGATGATTTAAGGGGTCATATGATGCTTTTTTAAAGATCATTTTTTTTTTGACAGCCCTAGTAGGTATGCAGGTGTGTTATGCTTGTTGTAGGTATTTTTGTAAATATTCAGAACAACATGTTGCAAAAATGTATTTATATGTAATTTACTACATAAAAAAGTGGAGATACAAGACCGATGGGGAAATTCTAATAATCATCCTAATGTTCTTTACCTCTGGTGCTGTTTGTAATCTAACAGCTGAATATTTTATAACTCCTTTAGGACCAAATAATGATTCCAGCACATCTTCTTCCCCCTGCAGGTGGTGACGGACGTTGGCGTTCACTTGCAGAAGCTCTCCATCAATAACGAAGGGACCAAACTGATGGTTCTGAACAGTCTGAAGAAGATGGTGAACCTGACGGAGCTGGAGCTGCTGCGCTGTGATCTAGAGCGCATCCCGCACTCCATATTCAGCCTGCACAATCTACAGGTCATCAGTCATCCTTCATAACTCTGCATAATACCTGTGCTTGTGCCAGAATGGATTTTCCATACATTATGGAAAGTTTCATTTGAATTTTTGAACTCGGCATCATAAAATTAGGTAATATTTGGGCCTTTTGAAGAGCAACCTCACTAAACTGCCTCAGGTGAGATGATGTTACTCTCACAAATTCATCAGCGCATTCAGAAAGGCATGATGTCAAAATTATTTGCATTCTTATTACATGTTCATAGTCTTGTTGGGCTTGGTTTATCAGTGCACATTATTATGAAGACAAAAAAAAATCTTTTATTGAGAGAGGCGGGGCATAGAGGACCTACAATAATGTACAGTATTTGAAAAATAATGTGTTTTTTGAACATTAAAGCATGTCAACATATTCTGTTACACCAAATACACAAAATAATGATCTTTAAAATAGCATCATATGACCCCTTTAAAAGATGCAATAATTTGCGGTACACAAACATGACGGTTCGGTTTTGGCGTCATGGTTCGGTATGGTTTCGTTATAGCAGAAGGAAAAAAACTAAACATAAATTGCTTTTTTTTAATTAAACAATGTTATACTGATCAAATTGCTCTTTCTTTAAATAAATTCAATTATAATTACAATTTTCTTTACATCTACCTTATAAAATAAAATGTAAAAAAATCTACCTCAGCTTCTGCTATAAACTACAGGGAGCCCTTTTACGTTACTATAAGGTTACAATTAACAAGTGCCCAAACTCAAATTTAATACTGTTTATTTTTATCTATAATAATCAACACTCAAATTAAAAAAATTGTATGCAAACATGTAAATTGCACTCGGTGCAGTTTTTAAATTAACTTCTAAATTATAAAATTTATATTTGTTGTTGAAATATAATAATTTACACTGTTGCTGTCATAACTTGTTTCATAAAAGATTTATTTAAATATACATTAAATGATTAAGACCTCACTAACAGGTCAAGTAAAATATAATGAGTATATAGCCTAGTCTAATATTTTGCAAAATAACAAGCTGTGGACAGTGATGACTTGCCTGAGGTAAATGAAATGCTACGTGACATTTTGATTACAAGCCGTTTTAATCGCATCTTTCCACGAGTGAAACACTGATTGTGCGATTACATGAGGCATGAGATGTTAATTCACGTTAAATAAAACTAGTAAAGAGGAAGGGATGATCGCACTCACTTGAGTTTATACAGCGATCTGTCGCGCCACATCAAAGAGCGCCAAAACGGCATTTATTGTCTAAATTTCCTGGAAAAATGGAATGATTTGTTTGGTACACGTGCGTACCGAAACGAAAGACCCATACCGAAAATATTCGGTACGAATACGTGTACCGTTTCACTAGGGCTGCACGATTATGACAAAAATCATAATTGTCGATTATTCCGTTGAAATTGTAATTGCGATTATTAATTACGATTATCACAATTTACATTGAATGACGTTTATACCATTGTTTGATGCAACTGCATGCCGTATTTTTATATAAAAATAAACAAGCTGAAAACACTAACTGAAAAACCTTTAGTGCTTTTCTATAGTATTAAGCCTCAAATGTCAAATATACATCGGATTGGTTTCTTCTTTAAATTATAAAAAAAGTAAAAATATGAATGGTATTATAATGTTATACTAAAACTAAAACAATGGAAAAACCCTTAAGATAACATGTAGAAAGAAAAAACATATCTTAAGCGTGCAGAATAACATAAGTGGACTTTGAACGATTAATTGCCGCTTTGAACGATTACGTAATTGTGGCATCCGTAATTGTAATCGCGATTAGAAATTCGATTAATTGTGCAGCCCTACGTTACACCCCTAAATTGCAATGTATATGCATGTAAAACCAGATTATTGAGTGTCTTAAACTTGCTGCGTTGTATAAATGCTGTACGTTTCTTAATGCTTGGCATCTTACCACAGGTATTTTCATGCTCGAACAAGCTCTGTTCACTTATTCTGACATGCACATCAACTTCTGTCTGCAGGAGATCGATCTGAAAGACAACAACTTGAAGACCATCGAGGAGATCATCAGCTTCCAGCATCTCCACAGACTGGTGTGCCTCAAGCTCTGGTACAACCAGATCGCCTACATCCCCATCCAGATCGGCACCCTCACCAACCTGGAGCGCCTCTACCTGAACAGGAACAAGATCGAGAAGATTCCTGCCCAGCTCTTCTTCTGCAGGAAGCTGCGTTACCTGGACCTCAGCCACAACAACCTGACCAGCATCCCTGCAGACATCGGCTTCCTGCAGAACCTGCAGTACTTTGCGGTGACAGCCAACAGAGTGAGTTGAGCATAAATGTGCAGACTTGCACCTCACCTTCCTGTGAGATTCCCTCAGACACTGCTATCTGAGTTCCCTGTAAATCTGCAGATGTACTATATGTGTACAGATAGATGATGTATATGGTACATTTCCAGGGTTATTCCTAATAAACAAATTCAATTGAAAAGTAGGAACCATTCAAAAGTTTCGAGTCTGTAAGATTTAATAATAATATAAAAATAATAATAATAAATTAATCCTTTTATTCAGCAAATACACATTAAATTTGCTCAAAAGTGACAATAAACAAACTTATAAGGTTACAAAAAAATAATTTCAAATAAATGCTGTACTTCAGCTATTACATATACTGTATATGTAATATTCTAAAATATTGTGTGTGTACAGAATTAATATAAATTATATATAATACACACAATATTTGAAAACTAAAACACACACATATATGTTTGTGTACGTGTAATTATATTTAATTTATTTTGTGTATATAAAATAAATATTTCATATATAGTATTTATATATATATATATATATATATATAGATACACACACACACATACACAGTATATATATATAATTTATTTAAAATATTATTAATTTCAATTATTATTAATTAAACTAAATTAAGTAATTAGATAAACTAATTATATATATAATATAAAATGTATATATATATTACTATATAATATGTATTATAATAATAAAAATGTATTTTTTTCCTGATGCTTTAAAGTCAATACAAGTTCTTTAAAACTTCAGTATGTTCATGGTCTTATTGTGAATGATTCATAAGTGCATATTATACCAAAGAAAAAATGCTTTCATAATCTTTTATGTACTAACTTGCTCACTAATCTAAATCTAAATTCATCTAAATTAACTTTTTAGCTGGCGTCAGACATATTGATTAACATCACTCATTAGCAAAATAGCCATTTAGTCATTGTTTTTGCTTACTGTTGCAGGCAGCGCATCCTTCCTAAAATTATTGCAACACAGCCATGTAATGTCAGTTAACGCTAATTAAATTACAATTACCGCAATCATAGCAAATATTTTTGAGGTTTGTAATATAAAATAGCGTGTCTGTGGTGTTTGAGGACGAGAATCCTCTGCAAACTCACAGTGCCAGTGTGACAATGCATCAGAAAGGCGGCTCCAGTTGTGCTTTCGGAAATCCTGTTTGCTGCATTAAAGCCTGATTTCTCAGCAGCTCCAGTCTTTCCACACCCTCGAATCACGTCTTACGCATACCTATCCGTCAGACGCCCATCAGAGCTGTCTCTGGGGCGTAAGCGGCATTAAACGGCGCCATTGTTTTGTTCAATCTGGATTTTTGGATTCGAGTCAACAGTCAGGGAACATACAGACATAAAGTCCAGGAACATTATGATGCAACACTCACAACCTGTGTCTCTCATGTGTTTTGAGTTTGACGGGCACTTGTGCTTGTTTTTAGTAATGGGCGTGTTGGAGAGCGTGTGTGGCATGTTTCTGAAAATAGCGCCTTTATGGGACCTCCTGTCGAGGAGTGTGTGCACTTACACACACACACACAACCTTCCCGGTTCTTTCATTAGCTCGTTGTTATCTAAATGAGTTGTGTAATTTGTGTTATTTGTTGAGAATCAAGGCGGACGGTAACTAGATGCACATGTTTGATTTTTTTACAGAGAGAGAGAGAGAGAGAGAGAGAGAGAGAGTGTGTGTGTGTGTGTGTGTGTGTGTATGTGTGTGTGTGTGTGTGTGTGTGTGGGCCAAAATTAGCCACTTACTCTGGAGATAATTGGTTTTCCTGTGTATAATATGTTTTCTGGGTCTCCGCCCTGCCGAGCGAGTGGCTTTAAATGGGGCACGTCGTTTATTATGAATAGATCATATTACACGACTCTCTGAAATACTTGATTCTGATTGGTCAGTTGTGGCATTCTTCGGTCAAATATTGTCGCATAATGGCGATTAAACTGGATAACTGTAGCTATTGCCTGCGTAGCTCTGCTGGTTTTGGGTTTCTCATATCAATCAGCAAAATAAACCCTGAGCAAGACAGCTGATCCCCCGACTGATCGCTGACTGTACATTACCGTTACATACTGCACAAAACACACAGATTGAATGAGCTGAAATCAGATGAACACTTATTTTTCATTATTTACTCCATTAACAAAAATAACTGAAAATAGTTTATTAGCTACTGAAATAAAACCAAAATTGCAATATGACTAAGTATGATTTATCAAACGGCAAAGGTTGCAATTTAATTAAATATGTTTTATATTTTTATTTAGGTAAGTTAATATTTTTAGTTACTACTAATAATTAATTAGTTGTTGTTGTTATTATTATTGTTATAGTCACATTGATATTGATATAAACCAGGGTTATTATAGTTAACTGAAACTAAAGCTAAAACCGTAAAAACACATTTTTCTCACTTCAAATACAATAAACTGGAAAAAAAAATCTATTTAAAAAATGAACTTATTTTATTTCAGCTAAAAATAACTGAAAAATAACAATCTAAAATAAAAAAATAAACTGTATGTAGGCATTTTAAAAAAATAATAAAAATAAAAACTTGTTCAAATTATACTAAAATAGCATTGCTACAAATACAATAAACCACACTTTAAGTTGCATTTGCAGTTTTTATAAACTACATATTTTAATTTTAACTACTGTAAGGTCCACGCACTTGGCCCAAGGAAGGTATCCAGTGGTGGATGAAGGTTTCTTGCGTGTTCGGTCTTTTCAGCGCGCAGAGTTATTCAATTTAGATTTAACTCAAATCTGACTCCATTTTATTATCTAATCTGACCGACTTTTAGTATGACCTCGAATTTAGGTTGAAAGGCAAATTGGTTGTTTGTCGGTCTCTTAATTATTCTGACATTTGGTTATTCTAGTTAACTCTTTAC